TCCCTGAGCTCCTTTGAGCCACAGCACCACTTCCAGTTTTGTGGTGGTTAATTGAGATAAGAGTCCCATGGACTTTTCTTCCCAGGCTGGTTTTGAACCATGATTCTCAGATCTCAGCCTCCTGAGTAGTTAGGAATACAGGTGTGTGCCACCAGCACCTAGCTTCAGCGTGCTTTTTATCCCTAGTTTACAGATAGGGGATAAAAAGGACAATTTAAGGAAGTGGAACTATGGCTCACTCTGGGCACTCAAGCCCAGAGTTCAAGCCCCATGACTGACCAAAAAAAAAAAACAAAACAACAACAGGACAATTTATTTACCCAAGGGCAAAGAACTAGGACATGGCAGGGGGTAGGATTTGAGTGTGGATGATCTTTTTCCAAGGTTCACATTCTTAACACTGTCTAGAAATTAGGTCACTGTTAGTGATAATGCGTATTAACCTATTGTTATGCGGCTGGGAATGTAGCTTAGTGGCAGAGTGCTTGCCTAGCATGCATGAAGCCCTGGGTTCAATTCCTTAGTACCACATAAACAGATAAAGCCAGAAGTGGTGCTGTGACTCAAGTGCTAGAGTGCTAGCCTTAAGCAAAAAATAAAAAGCTCAGGGACAGCCTCCAGACCCTGAGTTCAAACCCCAGGACTGGCAAAAAAAAAAAAAAAAGATATTGTTGTGAGAGTCCCAAGTGTTTGCTTGTGGCTTTGTTTTGTGTTTTGCCATACTAGGGATCAAGTCCTAAGTTTGTGCACTCTAGGCAAGGGCTCTATGTCTGAGCCACACCTCCAGCCTCAGAGTTTCACGTGCTTTGACATAAAAAATACCTAATCCACAAACATTTCACAATAATCCCCTAGCCATAGCACAGACCCCTGACAGATTCTAGGTAAGGGCTATGATATTCATTTGCCTAGAGAGGAAGACTGAGACTCAGATGAAGGAAGGGTTGGTCCCCAGGACACCCACTAAACTGGACAACCCACTGGGGTGGATCCTGGCTGCACACCTCACAAGGTTGTGATGCCTACACGCATCCTCTCAGCCTGCACAGAATCTCTCCCAGAGAGGGCTGGGAAGGTGGCTCAGTGGTAGAGCGCTTGCCTTGCATGCATGAGGCCCTGGGTTCGATTCCTCAGCACCACATAAGCAAAAAGAAAAAAGCTGGAAGTGGCGCTGTGGCTCAAGTGGTAGAGCGCTAGCCTTGAGCTGAAGAGCTGAGGGACAGTGCCCAGGCCCAGAGTTCAGGCCCCACGACTGGACCAAAAAACAAACAAACAAAAAAAACAAGAATCTCTCCCAGAGAGTTGTACATGGACACACTGAAAACTTGTGCATTGTTTTCAATAGAGTATTCTAGAAGAATAATGTGGGTATGATGATCCCAGGAGTATATAGATCCTATGGGATGCTCATGCTGGGTCTGGGGGATGGGGGAAGGAGGGTAGACTTGTATGCTTTTCTGGACTAGGGTTTGGATGCAAATTCTACCCACAAGGTAGACAGGTTGACAGGAGAATGGCCTCCATGCTAGGTTATCATCCTTCCTCTGTCACTCTGTACTTTCCTTTCTTTCAGGGACCAAGAAGCTGAGGACATAGGAATGGGTTCCCAAAATCAGGGAGCCACTTAAGACAGCTGGGAGCTAATAGGAACATTTGTTGAATTTTCAGGAGCTGCTGAAGTCTTTCAGGCTTCTGAGGGAATAGTGATAATGTCACTGGGATCAGAATTGAACCTAGGTCCTTCTTCCCTTGTAGTCATGCTCATCCACAAAGGCTGACATTTGTCCTTTTTGGCAGGCAAGGTTCAGACCTTCCCAGACATAACTGATGTGTAGATGCCATCTTAAATGCCTACGTTTCCTGCTCAGGTACATGAGCACTATATGCTCAAAATCTGCCAGTCTAAGCTAGGTATAGTGGCTCAGGCCTGTAATCTTGGCAGTTGAGAAGAAGAGGCAGGAGGAACACAAAAAAAATCTGATCTGGATACTGGTGGTGGCTCATATAGGTTATCATAGCTACACAGGAAGCTGAGATCTGAGGATAATGATTTGAAGTTAGCCCAGGCAGGAAAGTACCTGAGACTCTTTTCTCCAATAAGCTACTCAGAAAAAGCCAGAAGTGGATCTGTGGCTCAAGTGGTATAGTGCTAGCCTGGAGAAAGAGTCTCAAGGATAGGGCCCAGGCCCTGAGTACAAGCCCCAAGACCAGCACGAAAAAAAATTCAGCTAATCATGATGCAGGGTATAACTTGGGCCTGAAGGAAGCTCCTAGGAATGCAGAACACCCCCCTCCCAAGACAGGACCACAGAAGACTCAGGGGTCATCCTTAGTCATCTCAAGTGACCTGAAAGAGGCCTGGTTGTTTCCTTCTGCAAATATACTACTAGTGAGCTGTACTGTAGCCCGAGGCCTAGATTCTTTTTTACTTTGTTGTTGCTATTTGTTTAGGGTTATTTTTTGTCCTTATTTTTGGTTGGATTTGTTTTGTTTTGTTGCCCAGGCTGGTATAGAATTAGGGATGTAGCCCAGGTTGACCTTGAATTCATGATCTTCCTGTCTCTGCCTCCCAAGTGTTGTAACTGGAATTGTAATCTAGAGCCCCAGACTTGTGAAATGTCACTATGTCAGGTCCAGCATCTCTTTCAAATAAAGATCTAAATAGTGGTAAAGGGCAGAGAAAGGAGGTTTATTACAGAACTGTGGATACCCAGGGGACTAAGCAAAGTATGTGCTTGAGCCTGCCTTTAGAATATATAGATGAGCTTAAGTGGGTTTGTTGTTGTTGGTTGTGGGCTTGAACTCAGGGTCTGGGTTTCCGTCCCTGCTCTCTTTTGCTCAAGTTTAGCTAGTTCCCTACCACTTTGACTCACAATGCCACTTCTGGTTTTCTGGTGGTTAACCAGAGATAAGAGTTGCAGAGACTTTCCTGCCTAGGCCATCTTTGAACTATGACCTTAGATCTCAGCCTCCTGAGTAGCTAGGATTACTGGCATGAACCACCAGTGCCCTGCTAAGCTTTAGGTTTTAATAGGGGAAGGAGGGGGGTCGAGGGGCAAAAGTGTGCCTCATCAAACAGTCTGGATCACTGGTGTTGTCCCAAGGTTAGAGGTGGTCATAGGTGGACCGCTCGGTCCTCCTCTCTGGATGATCAGGTGGAGCCTGGTCAAGATAAGAAAGGCATTGTTACTGTAAGTACTTACTTATCACAAGATGTTATCATCCTTCCTGGTCTCCAAGGTGGCTGCAAGGTGACTGCAGAAGAAAATGGCTCTGAGCAAAGGACACAGATACAAAATGGAGGCAGGGATACCAAGCTTTTCTTCTGCTTTTAGTGTACCTTTGGACATTTACAAGTCCAAGTGAGAAGCCAATATTTTATTTTTGTTACTGAGCTAGGATTACAGGTATGTGCCACCATGTACAAGTGATCTGATGGAAGGGAAATTGGGGATTATTTCCTTTACCAAAGAAGACCTGTTGGAGCCTTTTTTTTGGGGGGGGGTCCATTTGTGGGGCCTGAACTCTGGGCCTGGGCGCTGTCCCTCAGCTCTTCAGCTCAAGGCTAGCGCTCTACCACTTGAACCACAGCACCACTTCTGGCTTTTTTCTTATGGGGTGCTGAGGAATCAAACCCAGGGCCTCAGGCATGCAAGGCAAGCGCTCTACCACTGAGCCACCTTCCCAGCCCCTGGAGCCTTTTTAAAACAGACTCAGGTGAACAGAACTCTTGGGTGTTCCACTGAATACACCATTGGAAATTCTGGTTCCTAGGGTTCTCATTAGAGTCAGGATCTTTGGAGTTCTGGGAGCAGGAGGTAGGGACTGTGTGAAAGGCTGAGGGATTGAGACCCAGCTTTGGGAACTGAAAGGTCCAGAGATAGTATTTGGAGGGATTACATTTAAGTTTTATAGAAGATAAGTTCAGAAGGTAAGGGTCAGGTCTAGAGACTTCAGTATAGGAAGGAACAGCTAAGTAGAAGAGGTATAGGGTGTGGGCTCCTGTGCCTGGGTCAACCTGATTTTATATCAGGAGGAGGTGGAGGGGTGGGGAGGGGAGAAAGGCAAAGCTGAAGTACTTCCCCATCATCCTTCTTCCCTATCCCACCATTCCTACACCAACAAACCCTGGGCCATGGCTGCTCCTCCTTCTAGAATCCCTGGCTGGCACACAAAAAGGGACTTGAGTCCCCTCCCCTTAAATTCAAGTTAAAGATAACCACCTAAGGGTGGGGATAGTGACCAAGGCTGGGGCAGGGCATCCCCACAGGACCTCAGAACAAAGCCTAAGGAAAGGATAGCTGTTGGTCAAGTGACCAGGACCTTCCCAAAGACTTCCTTAAATGATGAAGTTTGTGACTAAGAGGATTTATGGTTGTGGGTTCACTTACTATCTAAAATGCCCTGGGTAATTAGGAATTAGAAATTATTATAGCAGAATGAAACCAGAAAGTAGTTGATAAATTAAAAGTGAAAATATGGGTTAACTGACCATTACTGATTCTGTAGATCATCAGTAGGAATCTAATATTGATGTTACTACCAGTGTGTCAAGTTTTGTGTGAAATATAAAACCCCAACATCTTTGTGTGTGTGTGTGCTGATACCACAGTTGAACTCAGAGCCTTGTGCTGTGGCTCAGCCTTTTTTGCTAGCAGCTAGCACTCTACCACTTGAGACATACCTCCAGTCCACCTTTTTGCTGGTGAATTGAAGAGGCTGGTGGATTTGTCTAGTGGGTTTGTCTGTCGGGCTGGCTTCAAACTTTGATCTTCAAATCTTAGCCACTTGAGTAGCTAGGATTACAGCTGTGAGCCACCAGCACCTAGCCTCAACATCATCTTGGGGTTTTTGTTGTTTTTTTGCCTTGTACATGTTAAGCAAGGGCACTGTAGTGAGCATCTGAAACCCCACACCCAATACCTTGCACCCTCTCCCATTAGTCCCAGGGTATCATTGACGAGTCTGTTCCTAGGCACTAACTACACAGAGACAGTGTCTGCTGGGTGGTACTTTTTTATTTCACCATCTGGAAGAAAGGAGAGGAAAGGTGTTGAACAGTGGGACCAGGCTTCAGGCTGTCCGGGCCCGCAGGGACTGCCAGGTACAGAGCCCTGGCTCCCGTGGCAGGCAGGCAAGGTGGCGACTCTGGAAGCCCTTCTCTGAACCCAGGAGGAGCTGGTCTGTCCACAAGCAATGAGAGTCACTTTCCAGTTTGCAGGGAATGGATGAACATGGAAATACCTGGAAGAGAAAAGAAAGGTCAGTTTGTTTTCCTTTCACTCCCTCCCCTAGAGAGAGAACTTTCCTCAGCTGGCAACATGAGCTACATACAGGAGAGTTGGAGAGAAGAAGAAAGTTCAGTGAAAAAAGCAAGCAATCCCAAGTAATCACACATAGGGCAAAGACCCAACCAAAATTTCCAAGGGAGCAGTGTCAGGTTTGGGAGAATGACAAGAGACATCAAGGACAGAGCTCGGGTTTGGAAGGCAGCTGCAAAGCCAACAAGCGCCAGAGAGGGGAAGAAACAAGCCCAGTGTTTGAGGAAGAGCCATGAGAATGAAGTCCAGGTGGAAGGCAAGGCTCAGGCACTCACTGTGCATGCCTGACAGCCAGCACTGTAGGTCTTGGTGAAGCCTCTGCGCTGAGCAGCACTCAAACTGTGCCAGGGAGCCAGGAAACTGCAGGTGGTGATGTGCAAGTACCCATTTCGCAGTTGTCCTGGGAGGGAGAGGGGAAACCAACAGGAAACTTTCAGTGAGGGGGAGGCGGGCGGCACCTGATTAGAGCCTTAGACTTGAAGACAGCGGGACAAAGTCTTGGCCCTTCCGACAGACTGAAATTGGTTTCCCTTCAGAGTGTCGCCCCCACCCGGTGGGGGGCGGCTGAGGACGTGTGGGTGTGGCTCGGGGAAGAGGGAGGGGCCTCACCAGCGATGAGAAACTCCTCGCTGCGGTTCTGGGACTCGTGGAAGTATCCGCAGACGCTCTCCATGGCTGGGGTGTAGACGTACCGGATGTCCGCGGCAAGCCCCAAGGCGTTGAATCCTTTGAACATCTGTTGACAGATGAGGGGAAAAGTCCTTTTACCGACATAATCCTCCCACTCCGTGTGCTTCCCTGAAGTCACATACCTAAATCCCGAGATCACAGACAGCTTCTTCGCTAACTGGTGAGCAGCGGCTATTTTGAGGAGGAGGGACTGTTAGGGAGGGGTATGAGGGATACCTTAGTCATCTTGATCTCATAACGCTGGTAAAAGGTGGTCTGGTTGACTTCTGCGGTCCCCACAAACTTCGCCCTTATGACTACAGAACAGCGAGGGGGAAAGGAATGAAATGAGTGACATAAGCCAATAAAAAGTCATCATAGTAGAAGCATTTATTCATTATGATGCCAACAAAGACAACACACAAAGTGGTTTATACATCTGTTCAGATTCATTGAATGCATTAAGCTTTTTTCATATCTTCATTTGTTCATTCACTCAACAAATATTTTTGGAGTGCCTTCTGTATGTCAGGCACTATGGAGTGCCAGAGAGGAACACAGCAGTGAACAAAACACAGATATCTCTTCCCTTGTGGAGCCCACACTCCCAACAGGAGGAGACAGACTAAAAATAAAGACGTAGGTGGAATGTTAGAGGATGTTAAGCATAAGTGTGGTGAGGAATTATAAAATCAGGTAAGGGGGCAGACAAAGAATCTTGGCTTGGCCAAACTTTTTAGGCTATTGAAATTTCTCCCAGGCCCACTTGTGCAACTTTCTTGTAAAATCCATATTTAGCAAAGAATCCTAAGTCAGTTTAGTGAGACCCCACACACCCATATCTGATTTCCCTCAATATCTGATGGGGCTCTTCATCCTCCACCAAGCCCACATGTTGTCTCATCACCTGGGCCTGGTTTCAGCAAGAATCCTGTTAGAGAACTTTAGCCAGAATCCCCACCTCCACGCCACCCCCACACCCCTGATGTCTCCAGTCACTGATCACTCCCTTACCTGCTCCTTGGCAGTAGAGTCCCACTTGCCCACGCTGTATTGGGAGGTGAGCCCAATCTCCCTCCCCCACTGAAAAATCTCATTGCCATGGTCCTCCTGCTTATGGGAATGGCCTTGGATAAAATCTTACTGTTTCTTCACAAGTCTCATTTAGTAATTTTTTTTCTTGGACAAAATCAGGAGTCCTAGGGAGTTAAAATTTTATGGCCGCCTCCTTATCTACATAACCTGATGGCAGGGTTTGGCAAAAACAGGGAGCAGCCAGCACACAGGCGATGAGGGGAGATTGAGAATGGCATACTCTTAGAAGCCTGAGGATGCCAGTGTGGCCAAAACAGAGAGATGCTCGAATGAGTGGAAATGTGCTGGAGATAGCTGCCACGCAAAGCTAAGCAGGTAGAGCATGTGGCCAGGGAGGGACCAGACTCACCGAGGTCAGAGTTGCAGAAGGCTGTCTGTGGGTGGGGTGGGGCACAGGTGCAGGCCCTGCTGGGGGATATCAGTGACAGTAACAGGAGCATGCCAGAGGCCAGGGGTGCAGAGGGGGTCATGGTGGCTTCTGTTGGGAAGGAAGAGTGTTAGACAGCCCCCACCCCAGCTGATCTGTAGACCCTGATAGCCTAAAGGGTTATCGAACTCAATTTGGGCATGGAGTTGGGGGATCTTAAAGGGGTTAGGGAGCTCAGAGTTTAAGGCTTAGAGAGTTGGGACAATTATTTAGGAGACTGATTGAATTGGGAAATTATAGGGTTGTGGAAGTTGGTGAATAGGGACTGCTGGGAAGTTTGAGAAGTTTGAGCGTTTAAGGGAGTTGGGAGTGTCTGAAAGCTGAGGAGTTTATGGTTGAGAAATCTGATGTCTGGGAGCCTAGAGAAGTCTGGGGAAGGTCAGGAGTTTAGAGTCTGTGCCTATTAAGAGACAGAGGTCCTGGAGGAAATTTAGGAAGATTGAGGAAATCTTAGGAGATTGTGGGGTCAGGAGCTGGGGAAGTTGGGAGTTAAGGGATTTGGGAAGTTTAAGGCAAAGGGGCAGCTTGAGGGATTTGAGACCAAAGGAAGTTTTGAGATTTAGGGAGTTGGAAATTGAGGAGTTTAGGGAGAGGGAGTTTAGGAGCTTCAGAAGGGCTGCAGTGGGAACTGGAGGGGGGGCCAAGGAATGAGAGGGGTTGACAAGTTGGGAGCCCTTGGTAGTATAGAGAAGTCATGGTGGTGACTGGAGATGGATGATAGGAGCTCCAGGGAGTTTAGAGTCAGGTTGGGATGGGAGTATTCCATTTCTCCCCTTTTATCTGTCCCCCCCCCCCTCGGTGAGACCAGAATCCTGGTGCCCACAGGAAGTCTGTGCAGGCTGGCATCTGGCAAAAGACTTGGATGGGTCTGGAGGCTGGCGCACAGACTCCATCCTCAGCCTGGCCAGGACACGGGGCCCCGCTTACCGCTGTGTCTCTCTAGGCTCCTGATCTGCGGCGATGGCGGCAGGGCCTGAGCGGTGGAGAATAAATGTCCACGCGAGGGGCGGGGTTGGCGCGGAAATCACAGCCTCCAGGCTTCCAGGATGCATTACTCATCCCTAGCCCAGGCCTAGGGGCGGGCCGAGGGTTGCCCAAAGAAGATACACCCTCCCCCGCCTGCGTCGCCGCTGCTGCCCCCTCCTCCTCCCCCTCCACGTCGTCGCAAACATTCCTTCCCGCAGCCTCAAAGCAGCTGCAGGCAGCCGGAGCCGAGCCGAAAATCTGCCAAATCTCTCCCATCCCACATACCCCAAGGTTCTCATGCCTGAAGCCCGAATTAGTTCAGTCCTCAGACGTTTACTGTGCATCTACTGTGTGCCAAGCCCTCAAGAATCACTTTCCTGTTATGTCTGACTTTCTGGTGAGGGGTGGCAGAAGGGAAACTGAAGAAAAGCAATGGAAGGACAGCAGGCAAGTCAAAAACGCTGTAGGGACACACCAAGAGGTTATGCGGCTTATCCAAGATCACAGAGTTAACAAATGGCAGAACTGGAACTGGAATGAAGGCGGCCTGGAACTAGAGGCACAGTAATATCTGTTCTTAAAAGCAACAAGAACCTGAAGATGTGGGTTAGAAGAAGGGTGCATGTGTGAATGGATCCGGAGTTCCATTCCCTGTGCCATTGGGTGAAACACACACACACACACACACACACACACACACACACACACACCACACAGAGGCAAATAGCCAACATTTATATGTCACTGGCTGTGTACCAAGTACTTGATATAATTTACCTCCCTTAAAAGCTTACAGCAAGCCTCTGAGGTGGGAACCAGGAGAAAATGAGCCATAGAACTAAAGAACTTTCCCAGGGTCACAGGATATGGCTGAGATTCAAACGTAGGCTCCCAGGCCCTGGGATTCTAACCCATGCTTGGCACAATCCTAGCAAGTTTGGAATGGTGGGGGTGAGCATTAGTGAGCACAGAAAGTGGGGGGGTGAATGGTGGTAAAAGCTAGTGAGTCAGTAGAAAAACCAATCCCCACCCCATCCTGCCCTACCCCTTCCCCACCAACCATCCCACGCCCCTATTTGAGGATAGGATGAGGCAACCCCTGCCCACCAGCTTCCTGATGATGCAGGAAGATTCCCTGGGGTCTTGGGGATGGGTTCTGAGGGCTGATTAACAGCCTCGGTTAATTCAGGGATGACAGAACAACAATAATGATGATGATAGTGATGACAGCAGCCACTTATTGAGCACTTACTGTGTACGGTGAGCTTAGGTCTTTGTATAAATTATCTCAGTAACTCTCTATTATCCCCTTGCTAATTAAGCTTGATTAACTTAGGAAGGTTAGCTCAATAACCGCAGCAGAATAAAAACCACCTCCGGAGACCAGCAGCTTAACTGTGTACCAAGCACTGTTTTAAAGGGTTTTTTTTGATTTGTTTTGTTGGTCATGGGGCTTGAACTCAGGGACTAGGTGCTGTCCCTTAGCTCTTCAGCTCAAGGTGAGTGCTCTACTACTTGAGCCACAGTGCCACTTCTGGTTCTCTAGTGGTTTATTGGAGATAAGAATCTCATGGAAGCCCGGTGGTGGCTCACGCCTGTAATCCTAGCTACTCAGGAGGCTGAGATCTGAGGATCATGGTTCAAAGCCAGCCCAGGCAGGAAAGTCCGTGAGACTCTGATCTCCAATAAACCATCAGAAAACCGGAAGTGGCGCTGTAGCTCCAGTGGTAGAGCGCTAGCCTTGAGCTGAAGAGCTGAGGGACAGCGCTCAGGCCCAGCGTTCAAGCCCCACGACCGACAAAAAAAAAAAAAAAAGAATCTCATGTACTTTCCTGCCTAGCTTTAAACCTAGATCCTCAGATCTCAGCCTCCTAAGGATTATAGGCATAAGCCACCGATGCCAGGCTTGTTCTAAAGTTTTTATGTACACATAACTCCCCCCCCCCATTCAAGGCTAGCACCTGGTAGGGCTGGCTTCAAACCAGGATCGTCAGATCTCAGCCTCCTGAGTAGCTAGGATTATCAGGCTTGAGCCATCAGTGCCCAGGTTCACATTATTTCTTTCAATCTAAAGAACTTCCTTATCAGTCGGGTGCCAGTAGCTCATGCCTGTAATCCTAGCTACTCAGGAAGCTGAGATCTGAGGATTGCAGTTCAAAGCCAGCCCAGGCAAGAAAGTCCGTGAAACTCTTATCTCCAATAAACCACCAGAAAACCCGAAGTGACACTGTAGCTCCAGTGGTAGAGCGCTAACCTTGAGCTGAAGAGCTGAGGGACAGTGCTCAGGCCCAGAGTTCAAGCCCCAGGACCAACAACAACAACAAAAAAAAGAACTTCCTTATCCTTGTTTATTAAAGTTAGCTATTGAAAAGATGTTAAACTGGTAGTGGTGGAAATGGTGGTGGTTGTGGTGATGATGGTACCCAACACTCTTTTTCTGGTGGTACTAGAGTTTGAACTCAGGGCCTTGTGCTTGTGTTATTACTTGAGCCATGCCCTTAACTCAGTCTCCAACACTTTTTTTTGCCAGTCCTGGGGCTTGAATTCACGGCCTGAATGCTGTTCCTGAGCTTCATTTGCTCAAGGTTAGCACTCTACCACTCAAGCCACAGTGCCACTTCCAGCTTTTTCTGTGTATGTGGTACTGAGAAATTGAACCCAGGGCTTCATGCATGTTAGGCAAGCACTCTACCACTAAGCCACATTCCCAGCCCAGCCCCCAACATTTTTTAAAGACAAGTTTACTGAGGTTTTGCCAGATAGTGAGCTAAGAGGGGTTCCCCCCCCAAAAGAAAATGTCTGACTTATTCCTCACAACATCCCTGTGAGTTTATCTGATGAGGAAACGGACACAAAGTGGTTGAAAGACCTGTCCAGGAATGAGAGTGAAGAAATTACTATTAGAGGACTAAAGAGGGAAAAAAGGAACGAAGAAACCAAGAATTTCTAGTAGCTGATTGTGAAAGTGGGGAGTGAGAGTGAGTGAAACAGGGTGCTGAGTAACGGAGTGGCGGGACTGAAGGAGAAGTGAGGACAGGGAAAGTCCTGTCCTGACCCTGCTTCTGACGCCAGCTCTTTAACTCTGAAACTTGACTCAGCACACAGTTTGCTGCGTGTTTATATGTGAGGAGTAGTGTGGAGGGGGTCAGCTGTTTCACAGATCGTGTGTGTGTGTGTGTGTGTGTGTATGTGTGTGTGTGTGTGCGTGTGCGTGTGTGTGTGTGTCCTGGAGCTTGAACTCATGACCTGGGAGCTGTCTCTGATCTCTTTTTTTTTTTAATCTCAAAGCTAGCACTCTACCACTTGAGCCATAGCTCCACTTGCAGCTTTTTAGTGGTTAATTGGACATAAAAGTCTTACAGACTTTCCTGAGTTGGCTGATTTTGAACTGTGATCCTCAGATCTCAGCCTCCTATGCCTGCCTTGTTTTGAAACAGGGTTGGTGTGGGCTTCCGAGATGGTGTCTAGGCCTGTGACCACCTAGTGAGCTTAATAGGTATGGAGGGCCTATGGGGACCAGCTATCATGTGCAGAGCAAACACCTGAAGATTGTATCCTGCACCAAGTGTTTGGGCTTGATTGGGCTCTTTGTACAGATCAGAAACTGAGGCCCACAGAGGGGTTAAGCTATGATCATGTGAGAGCCTTAGGATCCTGGTAGGGGAGCTTTGGAAGAGGATAGGCCCAAATTCAAGCCTGGGATTATCCAAGAGATCTGGTGAAGGGATCATGGTACGCACACATTTACACGTACTGAACATTGTTTCCACTTGGCTTTATGAAAAGCTGGACCTAGCTGAGGTGTAGCTCAACGATAGAGCTCATGCCTAGTGTGACAAAACTCTGAGACCCATCTCTAACACTGAAAAGAAAAACCTAGAAAGCTTGGAAAATTAGAGTGGGCAATCATGTGTGCCCACAGGTCTGTGGTGAATGCCTGCTCTGGGAAAGGCATGCATGCCTAGCTGTGTTCTGTCTGTTCCTGAGAATCTGTTTGTGCCTGAGTATTGTGCTAAGGATGCTTTGGTCCCTTGTGCGTTGTGGGGATGCTTGAGTGGAATGTCACTATTTCCCTGGCATGCTGCCCAGACAACCTCCTTCACCCCAACCAGTCCCCAAACCATGCCTTTCAGCAACACTTTCCTCCCCATAAAGCAAGTCATTTAGGAAATGAAGAAGGGAAAGGGGAGTATAGAGGGTCAAACCTGAAGGTCAATGGATCACCTTGAGTATCTGGGCTTCTTGTGCCTGTTGGGAACTGCCACCATCCCAGCAGCCTGGGGAATACTACCTTTCTACCCTGCTCTAACAAGTTCTCTCTAACTTGACAGAGTTATGGGAGACTGAAAGTCTTTTCTCCTGAGTGTGTGTGTGTGTGTGTGTGTGTGTGTGTTGTGTATAGTTAGGAGAGCTGTGGTAATCTCTGCTTATGTGTATGTCTCTCTGTGTTATGCATACAGCAAGGCATGCTGTGTGCGTGTGTCTATATGTGCATTTTGTCTGCCCAGGTATGTGGGGCAGGCTCGAGTGATGAGGTTATGGTTATGGAGAATACCTAAAAAGTATGTATGTCTTGTGTAGTCCCTTCTGTTGGTTGTGCATATGCCTAGGAGTGTTGCAAGTTTACCTTGGAGTGTTGAGTATGTGTCCAGTTCTGTTTTGTGTGTTACAAAGGTGATTTTTTACTTTGCATGTCCCTCAGACAGTTATGTGTCTTTAGAGGAGGGGAGGGAGGCTATGTGTGTGGGCTCCAAAGTGCTGATTTTGTATCTAAGAGTATGGATTGTGTACTGCCTCGGAGTGCTAGCTTCTGTCCCCAGCTGTTAGCACATAGTTGGTGTGCTTTGAGCACGTGTCAGTTGTCCATCTCAACATGCATGGACATATCTGGTTTAGCTGGGCAGATCTGAGTTTTGCGGATTTGTGTGTGTGTGTGTGTGTGTGTGTGTGTGTGTGTGTGTGTGTGTGTGTTCCATACAAGGCTTGGCTGAAAGGTCTGTTGCTACATACTAACCACCACACCCCCATACACACACTCACTTTTGCTATCATCCATTCACTGTAAAAACAAACTTTCTCTTTTCTGGAAAGTCCCCCACCCTCATTCCATGCCTCTGCCTGGGAAAGCAGGGGCGGGAAGTTTGGCACTGAGAGTGGAGGAAGGGACATGCAGATAGGGCTGGGGTTGTATTCTGGGCTTGGGTTCTGGGTTTGGAGATGCTGTGTGACTCCCAGCAGCTGTCTGCCTTTTCTGCAAAATGGGTCCTAGTGTGGCTCATTCTGAATGGGGTCACTGGCATCTCTCTTCCTCTTTTGTGTATGTGTGTATGGAGGTCCTGGGGCTTGAACTTAGGGCTTGGGTACTGTCCCTGAGCTTTGTACTCAAGGCCAGTGCTCTAAGTTTTTTGGTGTTCAATTGGAAATAAGAGTCTCATGGATTTTACTGTCTGGGCTGGCTTTAAACCGCAATCCTCAGATCTCAGCCTTCTGAGTGGCTAGGATTACAGGCGTGAGCCACCAGCACCCAGCACCTCTCTCATTCTTGGTAGTCAGCACTGCAGCCTTACCATGCTGCCTTTGTCCCCACCAGCTCAGCAGCACAACATACCCTGTGGTCGTAAAGATGGGGCATGCCCACTCTGGGATGGGCAAGGTGAGTCCCCAGCTGGAGGGCAGGCATGCATGTGGGCATTTGTGAATGCATGCTTCTGGCCCTGGTGTGTATAGTGGTAAGTGGTTTTGTGTTCAATGCATGCCAGTAATTCTGTTTGACAGTATGTCCTGGGATGTCTTCCTCTATTCAACTAATTTAGCTAGCCCATTTTTCTATCATGCTTTCAGCCACTTTTGTGTCCTTTTATTGTGCTGATGTGTCTGATATTGAGCCTGTGTGTATGTGCATGCCTGTGTGCTGAATATGCACTGTGTCACCTTTTATGTTGCAGGGTCTTGGGGGTCCGGTATGCTTTCCATCCAGCTGATTTTGTCTGTGTGTATGTGGCAAGCTGACTTGGCATTTGTAAGTCTGAGTGTGTCCTAGCCTCTCTATGCCTGTTTTTTTTTGGGGGGAGGGGTGAGTCCTGTGGTCCCGTGTATGTGTCCCATGTGCAGTTTTTTCACAACTGTATTAAAATGGGCATTACACGTTCAAAATGGACAACACAATGGTTGTAGTATGCTCAAATACGCTGCTGGCTTTGTGTTTGTGTGCAGCATCTGCCACACTGTATGCTTGAGTACCTGTGTGTCATGTGTACATACCCCTCCCGGTGCCTGATCCTCTCCCCTATGCATATAGGTCAAGGTGGACAACCAGCATGACTTCCAGGACATTGCAAGTGTGGTGGCACTGACCAAGACATATGCCACTGCCGAGCCCTTTATTGATGCCAAATATGATGTGCGTGTCCAGAAGATTGGGCAGAACTACAAGGCCTACATGTAAGTGGAAAGACTAGGGCCTAGGAGGTTTCCTGCCCTGCCTCCCACATCTCAGCCCTCCTAAACCTCTTCCTCCTTGTTCCCCAGGAGGACGTCAGTGTCAGGGAACTGGAAGACCAACACTGGTTCTGCGATGCTTGAGCAGATTGCCATGTCAGACAGGTGAGGGATTCACACTTGGGAAAGGAGGAGGAGGATAGGAAAGTGGCTACCTTGGCAAGGTACTGACAGGCTGCACTGCTCTTGTCTTGGCAGGTACAAGCTGTGGGTGGACACATGTTCGGAGATTTTTGGGGGACTGGACATCTGTGCAGTGGAAGCTCTGCACGGCAAGGATGGAAGGGACCACATCATTGAGGTGGGGGCAGCCAGGGACGGGTGGGGCAGCAACATTCTAAATTGGGCAGCACCTGTCACACAGAAAGTCCTCAGTGAATGGCAGTGTGCTCTAGTAAACTGTAAAGTTGTTTGGTGAACTGGGATATCCCGAACTAATGGCAAAACCGTAAACTCTAGTTGGGCTCTGTGAACTTGGACACCCTTCACAAATGGCAAAAATACTTGTCAAGATATAAAGTGCTCAGTGAATGGAGACACCTTGGTAAATGGCAAAGCAGTTAGTTACCTTTCAAGTATCCTGTGAACTGAGCCAATAGAGAAGTACTGTGGTTTATGTTTGTTTGTTTTCATGCCAATATTGGGCCTTGAACTCAGGGCCTAGATATTTTTTCCTTAAGGCAGGTGCTCTACCACTTGAGCCACAACTCCACTTCTGGCTTTTTTTGTCAGTCATGGGTCTTGAACTCTGGGCCCAGGCACTGTCCCTCAGCTCTTCAGCTCAAGGCTAGCAACCTACCACTTGAGCCACAGTGCCACTTCCAGTTTTCTGGTGCTTTACTGAAGAGTCTCATGGATGTTCCTGCCTAGGCTGGCTTTGAACTGCGATCTTCAGATCTCAGCATCCTATATAGCTAGGATTACAGGCATGCCACCGGCACCTGGCTTATTTCTGGCTTTTTTTTTTTGGGGGGGGGTCGGTCATGAGTCTTTTACTCTGGGTTTGGGCGCTGTCCCTGCACTTCAGCTCAAGGCAAGTGCTCTACTGCTTGAGCCACAGTGACACTTCCAGTTTTCTAGTGGTTTATTGGAGATAAAAGTCTCATGGACTTAACTGCCCAGGCTGGCTTTGAACCATGATCCTCAGATCTTGACCTCCTGAGTAGCTAGGGTTATAGGTGTGAACTGCCAGTGCCGGGCATGCTCGGCTCAATTCTGGCTTTTTGATGGCTAGTTGGAGATAAGAATCTCATGGACTTTCCTGCTTGGGCTGGCTTTGAACATTAATCCTCAGATCTCTGCCTCTTAAATACTTAGGATTATGGGTGTAAGCCACTGGCACCAAACAATAGTGAAGCACTTTGGAAAGGACAAAATGCCTACCTGGAAAACTCTAAAGCTGAGACCAGCAAACATTTTCTGTGAAGGACTAGACAGTGGATGTTTTAGGCTTTGTGGGCACTATAGTCTCCGTTGGATTGGCTCAACTCAGAAAGTAGCCATAGGCAAGATGTAAAATCCTAAATGTGGCTGTATGTATGGATACAACTTGTGTGTTTCTGTCTAAAACCTTCGTTTATGGGCACTGAAATTTAAATTCCATATAATTTTATCTGCCATGAAATATTTTTTCAAACCATTAAAAGGTATCAGCCAAGCACAACTAGCTCACACCTGTAATGCTAGCTACTCAGGAGGCTGTAATCTGAAGATCATGGTTCCAAGCCAGCTCAGGCAGAAAAGTCCCACATGAGACTCCCTATCTCCAATTAACCACTCAAAAACAGGAAGTAGAGCTGTGGCTCAAAGTGGTAGAGTGCTAGCCTTGAACAAAAGAGCTGAGGGATAGAACCCAGGCCCAGAGTTCAAGTCCCACGAGGAAAAAGTCAATTCTTAAGTGATCTGGTCCTTGTCACAGACAAGCCTTCTTCGAAGTACACAACCAATATACCTCTTTGGAACCAGACCTCACTTCCTGCAAGTGTCCATGCCTTTGGTCAAGTGAATACATGGTGTCATTGTGACCTCCTATGTCCTTTCTGCCTCTTCTCTCACTGGCCTCCCTTTCCTCCCCCAGGTGGTGGGCTCCTCCATGCCACTCATTGGTGACCACCAGGATGAAGACAAGCAGCTCATCGTGGAGCTTGTGGTCAGCAAGATGGCCCAGGCCCTGCCCAGACAGCGGCAAAGGGATGCTTCCCCTGGCAGGGGCTCCCACAGCCAGGTCAGGCCCTTGGTAATGAGTAGTGGCAAGGAGACCAGCCTTTGGTCAAGCATGGGCCATATACCAGATACTCAGTAGGCTACCAGCATCACCTATGGCCTCAATTGCCAATTGTTTAAAGCAATGATACATGCCTGCAGCTCTGTCCTCCACCTGAGTGTGGATGAGGGGGAGGATTCAGCCCCACATCCCTTCAGCTGCCCACAAAAGGGGCAACACCCAGTACACAGGGAATGAGGGCCATTCTGATTGGATGGTGTACTATGGCTGGTAACTATTTTTAACCTGTCCTTTTCCACTCCTCTGCCGCAGACTCAGTCCCCAGGGGCCCTGCCCTTGGGCCGCCAGACCTCCCAGCAGCCTGTGGGGCCTCCAGCTCAGCAACGACCCCCGCCTCAGGGTAAGTGACAGGAAGCTTTCTACAGCCTCCTGGCTTTCTCTGCCCCCAACCTTCTCCAGTTAGATGATCGCTCACTCCCTCTTACTTGTTCTTTCTTCTCTGTCCACCAGGAGGCCCTCCACAGCCAGGCCCGGGACCCCAACGCCAGGGACCCCCACTGCAGCAGCGCCCGCCCCCACAGGGCCAGCAGCACCTTACTGGCCTTGGACCCCCAGCTGGCAGCCCTGTGCCCCAGCGCCTACCGAGTCCCACCTCTGCGCCCCAGCAGCCTGCGTCACAGGCCGCACCAATGACCCAGGGGCAAGGCCGCCAATCCCGTCCAGTGGCAGGAGGCCCTGGGGCGCCTCCTACAGCCCGGCCGCCTGCTTCTCCATCTCCCCAGCGCCAGGCGCCTCCACAGGCTACCCGTCAGACATCGGTCTCTGGCCCGGCTCCGCCAAAAGCCACTGGGGCCCCACAAGCTGGGCAGCAGCGTCAGGGCCCTCCTCAGAAACCCCCAGGCCCCGCAGGCCCCACACGCCAGGCTAGCCAGGCAGGTCCCGGACCTCGCACCGGGCCACCCACCACGCAGCAGCCCCGGCCCAGCGGCCCAGGTCCTGCTGGACGACCTGCCAAGCCACAGCTGGCCCAGAAACCGAGCCAGGATGTACCACCACCCGCCACCGCCGCTGCCGGGGGTCCCCCGCACCCCCAGCTCAAGTAAGGAGGGCCCTACAGCAGCCTTCTCCTTGCTGCTCACAAAGCGGGTTCCCGGCCTGGTAGGGCAGCCCTAGCATCACTACTCAGGTCCTTCCCAACAGAGAACCCTGCAGCCTAAGCCAAGCCCCTCCTCCTGGATGGCACTCCTCCTCTCCACCTACATCCTTGTCTCCATCCTGGGATTTGATGCCAGATCCCAGACACTTTCGATTCACCTTCCTCCACCCGTTTCACAACAGGCCCTGGGAAAGTCCCCAATTCCAGGCCCATAGTCCGTGCCTGACAGACCCGTCTCCAGCACCTCCCTGCCCAGCCCGACTCAGGCTTTCCTGTCAAACTTGCCCTTGCCCTCCCTACTCCTCCCAGCCCATCCCTGAAATGTGTCTGGCCTTGTCACTCCATTCTTCCCAGACAATCCTTTCCAGAACAGCCTAGGCAACTTTTTGGTCTATCCCCCAATTTCTCCTGGCCCAACTATCTGCCCCTCCATCATCCTCCCAGCCTCCTCTGGGTCTATCCCACCCAACCCCAACTCCAAAGTCCTACTTGCCCCCACCCAACTGCTTCCCTTTAAACTGACTGGCCCCTACCAGCCTGTCCTTGGCCCAAGTCCCTCAGTCTCTTCTAGAATCCTTACCTTTAGACTGGAAATCTCCTTCATCTTCCTCTGTACATCAAACAAACCTAGACTTGGGCCAGGGATCTTTCCATTAATCCTACCCTTCTTCATTTTGCACCAGTCTTCCCAGCAGTGCTGTTTCAGCTCCCTAGTCCCGGGCCCAATCTGTTCCAAAGTTCTCCCAGCCTAGAGAACCATAAGGGCCCCAGGCCCAAAGTGGTGGGTGGGAAGGTCACAGGCAGAGCCCCAGGATCAGAGGGGCAGGGCTGGGGCCGGGCCTGGGGTAACATTGTGTTTCTCTCCCTTCCTCCCTTCCTCTTTCCCCCTTCCTCCCATGCCTCCACCTTGTCTCTCTCTAGCAAATCCCAGTCTCTGACCAATGCCTTCAACCTTCCAGAGCCAGCCCCGCCCAGGCCCAGCCTTAGCCAGGATGAGGTGAAAGCTGAGACCATCCGCAGCCTGAGGAAGTCTTTCGCCAGCCTCTTCTCCGACTGACACCCCATCCCAAGAACCCCTAAGTCCCTGGGCAACCCTCTCTGGGCCCTGAATCCATTTCTGTTTGGGATCTTCAAATCCCTTGAGAACCATTCTCCTGGTTCTACATCATCCCACTTCTCATTCCTCAAGATGCCCAAGTCCCTTGAGAAACCCCATCCTAAATCCAGGTCTCACATCTGGGATCCCCAAATCCTTTAGAGCTCTGTTCCTGGTCACCTCAAGATCTACAGTTTTAGGCCCTGAAAATTCCTGAACACCTCTATTCCTGGTAACCCTAAAAGAGTACTTCCTTCCTGGAACCTCTCCAATACCAGGCAACCTGTTTCTGGCCCTAAACACCATTGAATCCCCTCCTGGAGCCCTGAAATTCCTGGAAAACCCTACTCCTGGTCCTGAATCTTTCCGACACACTTTGTTCCTAATCAAAAAATTCCAATGCTGCAAGAAACCCCTACCTTTCAGCCATTTTCCATGTGAGCTCCATCTCTCTAGTGTTCACATTCTCACATGCCATCCACCACCCAGCTCTATAAGGATTTACCTTCACTGCTCCCCTCAATTCCACTTGGGAGCTCCCCCTACTTCTAGGACCCCTCAGTTCCCCCCAGGGATCCCTCCCCAGTTTCCTGCCTCTAACAGCTGTCTAAATATGCAAAATCTACCCATCCTCCCAGAATCCTTTGCACAGGGAAGGCCAGTGGTCTCCCACTTCCCCACCTTTGCCGTGATGTCTGTGTCTGTGACTGATGTGGCCTCCTCTTGTGCCGTGCTTGGCATATGTGGTCCTCATTCATTGTGCTGCCTGTGGTGATGCGTGCAGTGGCGCTGTTTGTGTGGTCTGCACCTCCCCTCAACCTCTACTCCTTGCCTGGATTCCCCCACCCCTCAGCGGCTCTCAACCCCAAGAGAAGAGTCGGGAAGCAAAATAAACAAGCAAAGGCCCAGCAGAATTCTGTGCTTCTTGGTGAAGAAAGAGGGGAGTCTTTGAATGGCAAAGGAGACACAGAAGAACCCCTCCTAATCCATATGGGGGTGCTGGGGACCCCAAAATCCAGTGAAGGCACAACAGGCACAAATTCCAGAGAGGCTGAGTGGAATCCTTGCCATGAATCCCAGCCATTGGAGAAGGAGGAGCACTCCCAAGTTAGAAGTATTCCCCCCAAGAGGAAACTAAAATTATGGAGACAGGGGTCTAAGTCTCCAATTCCAGAGGAACTGGAAGAGCATGTAGGGACCTCCACACCTCCCAGAGTAGGAAGTAGGGGGTCCTGAGGCAGTATCAAGGCAGAGATGGAACAATGACTGGCTGGTAGGCAGAGCTCCTTGGCATGGCAGGCTGAGATTGGCATCCCCCTCCTGGCTAGGGGAGCCTAAGGCACAAGGCGGGCTGCACTGAGGAGGCAGGCCGGCAACTCATCAGCCTGGGTGCGGTGCAAGGAGGGTTCTGAGGCACTCCGCTCAATCTTGGGGAGTGACCGTTGCAGCAGCTCAATTGTAGCCAGGATCTGGGGACAGGTGAGAATGAGGAGGGGTGTCCGGTGTCCTATGGGCACCCCACCTCCTTTTGACCCCAGCTAATGGAGACACACACATTGTGTACCTCGGATTCAACAGGACTAATGCCTGCCTCCATCTCTGCACCCCCTCCCACCACCCCATCACACTCCTTCCCAGGTATCCAGCTCATTTCCCCAGCCTACCTGGGGGAAGAGGGGCCGCTCCTCCCGCTGGAACTTGAGGCAGTCAGACAGTAGACGTCGCATGGCTTTGGGGCAGTTGCTCGAGACTTTGCTGAGGTCCGGAGACAGATAGCCACGGCCCACCATAAAGATGATCTTGAATTGGGGGAGGGGAATGGGGTAATCCTGGGTTCAGTCTTGGGCTCAGAACATTATGAGTGCCAGGGCCCTAAAGCCTGAGTGATTGTGGGTATCTGGAAGGAAGTCTGTTTCTGGGAGAAATGGAATGCTGAAGTTGGGGGACCTGGGGTATTCTGAACACCCACAGCAGAAGATGATAGACGTGTAGGAACCCAGAGGGCTTCTAGGTATTTGGAAGCCTAGGAGCTTTCTGAATATCAGGATTCTGAGAAATGGGGAATTTGAGGATTCTGTCCCAGGAGTTGTAGATGTGGAGGAAGAAGTGGGGTCAATATTCAGTACCTAAGAGATTAACACTGGGAGTTCTCATTCTACAAAATTCTAAGTTTCTGGGGGGAAGTATGGCATCCTTGGTATGTGTGATGAGGAATCTGAAGTATGGAGGCCTAAGAATTGTGGGGAAGGTGTAGAGCTCACCTGGTCACGGCTGCCAATGTGGCTGTAAGGCAGTGAGCCGGTCATGAGCTCATAGAGCACAACCCCATAGGCATAGACATCCGACTGGAAGCTGTAGGGGTTCGGGTCCTGCATCCGGATCACCTCAGCAGCCTTTGATAGGCCAGAAAGGCAGGGGAACCATTGAGGTCAGCAAATGGCTAGCCCACAGTCCCAGATCTTGCTGGCCATACTGGGTACCCTCCCACAGGAGCTGTCTAGGTACCCACACCTGGCAGAGGCATTGCCATTCCTGCTTGGTACCATAATGTCCCAAACCAGGAGCCCTTGCCTCCCTGAGCTCTGTGTCCAATTTGGCCCAACTCACCATCCACAGCACAGAGCCTGAAGGCTGTTCCAAAGGCTGAGCCCCACTCCACCGTGTCTTCACTGTGGCCAGGCCAAAGTCACCAATCTTCACTGTGAGCCCCTCATGTAGGAAGATGTCCATGATGGTTAAGGCCACTACAGAGACTCCTAATAGTCACACCTCTTGTCCTAACTTATAAGTTCCCACAAATGCCCTGCCCCAATACCAGTCATGTCTCTGCCCAGAAGCCTCTACAATTTCATACAAACTATCCACAATCAATGCCCTCCACACTTGGTCTCCTTGTCCCCTGTGATTCAGATTCTTGAATGGCACCCTAACTTTTCATATCTTTGAAACTCCATGTAATGTCCTCCACAAACATCACACTTCACACCTTGACCAGAATACCCAAGAACATCACCAAATTAGCCACATCTTTAACTCCTAACCAAAAGCCTTCCATTAAAGCCCCTTCATCAGCTATGGCTCCGCCACCTGGCAGAAAACAGGCAACATGTGCCCTTTCCTCTTTACCCCCAGAGGCACACCCCCGCAAAAGCCCTCCCTCCTGCTAAATCCTTTATTCAGTTAATGCTCCACCCCACCCTCAGCCAGTGACAGATACTGTTAGACTTGAGGTCTCTGTGGATGATGCTCTTGGCATGCAGGTAGCTATGGGGCAGAAGTAGGTGGTTAATTGACTGAAGCCACTTCACGCCACCCACTGTGCTCCCCCAATGCCCAAGATGGGAAGCTCACTCCATGCCCTGGGCAGTCTGCCTGGCCACGTCGATGAGCTGGACCATATCAAAGCGCGTGTCAGCCACATGCAGGTGGTGATAGAGGCTGGAGCCTTCGCACCACTGAGTGATGATGGCAAACCCTGGCCTCGTCATGAAGCCCATGAACAGCAAGATGTTGACATGTCGAGTCTTCCTGCATGTAAGGAGGAAAGTTGGTGGTGGGGGTGTGAGGTTAGCACCTGCTATGCATTAACTAAGCATCAGGATCAGGATTGTCATTGTTCATTGCCTTCTATGGGATTCATTTCACCCTGATGTTTAGGTTGTTCAGGGCCAGACCACTGTCTTATACCAAGTTGTGAAACATGCTTGCTGAGTAGGATTCTCTGTTGGGGGCTGATGGCCTGAAATTCCTCATCAGAGTCTTCCAACAAAAGCAGGTAGAAAGACAACCTCAAATGGCTCATACCTCTAATCCTAGATACTCAGGAGGCTCAAGGCCAGTCCAAGTAAATTCATCTAAGAAAATCTTCAATTAGCCAGCAAAGAGGCAGAAGTGGGATATGTGGCTCAAGTGGCAGAGTACCAACCTTCAACAGAAAAAGCTAAGCAAGAGCTCAAGGCTCTAAGATCAAGCCCAGTACTAGCACAAAAAAGAAGGTAGGAGGGATTGCTCACCAACAGAAGAATCTCTAATTATTATCATCCACCACAACTCAGAGTCTAGCCACTGCCTAGACATGTGGCCATTTCACAGATGAGAATGTGGGATGTCAACCTTCTTCACTGATATCTCAAAATATTGATAACTGGTCAAAACATGGGTGACAGGTGAGAATTACAACCTGTTAGTCACTGTGTTAGTCACTGTGAGAGGCTTAGAGATAAAGGGCTTTTTTTGGTCAGCTGTGGGGCTTGAACTCAGGGCCTGGGCACTGTCCTTGAGCCTCTTTGTGCTCAAGGCTAGTGCTTTACCACTTGAGCCACAGCACTACTTCCAGTTTTTGAGTGGTTAATTGGAGATAAGCGTCTCTCAGGGACTTTTCTGCCCAAGTTGGCTTTGAACCACAATCCTCAGATCTCATCCTCTTGAGTAGCTAGGATTATAGGCCTAAGCCATCGGTGCCCAGCAAAAGGGCTTTAAGTCTAGACTCAGGTTACAACATACTTAGTTCAAATCCTGGCTCTACCAGTTACTCACTGTGCTACCATGGGGAGGACATTAACCTCTCTGGTCCTTACGTAAAACTGAGATCATGTAGTAGCTACTTTACAGGTATGCTGGAAGGGGTGAGCAAACAACCTGTAAGGCCCTTAAAACAGCTGAACACACAGTAAACACTCTGAAAATATCATTGCCTTTGTTGTTATTACTCTTATGTACCTAGGTCTATCTCAAGGAAACTGTCACATATGAATCATTTTACCCTCATTTATGAGAAAACCTTCATTCCTTATAGAAATATTAACCGCAGTTTTAGATGTTAACACAAAGGCTGAAGGACTGGCTTAAGTGTTAGAGCACCTGCCTAGCAAGCTCAAGGTCCATGAGTTCAATCCTTAGTATAGAAAAAAATATTCTTTTTATATATTTTTTATTTATTTTATTTGTCAGTCATGAGGCTTGAACTCTGGGCCTGGGCGCTGTCCCTTAGCTCTTTAGCTAAAGGCTAGCATTCTACCACTTGAGCCACAGTGCCACTTCCTGTTTTCTGGTGGTTTATTGGAGATAAGAGTTTCTTGGACTTTCCTGCCCAGTCTGGCTTTGAACCATGATCCTCAGATCTCAGCCTTCTGAGTAGCTAGGATTACAGGTATGAGCCACCAGCGCCCACCTTTATGTGTATTTAATTTATGTGTATTTAATTTATTTAATTTATTAATTTATTTAATTTATGTGTATTTAATTTTTGAGGCAGTACTTGGGTTTGAACTCAGGGTCTTGTGATTCCATGGCAGACACTGTTACTCAAGCCACAGCTCTGGCAAAAAAAAGAGATTCTAAAGACATGATAACATAAGCATATGGTTAAAAATAGGAATCAAGTTACCACATGCTCAAGTCATTGTCATGTCACAAAGAGGAGTTGAGAACAGAAGTTTTTTTACTTTGGCATCTGTTATGAGAAAAATAGTAACATGGCACAAGTTATTATGATATATCAAATGTAACATCATGAGTCCATCTGACAGGACAGAATCTAAGCTGGCATCATCCAGAGTGGCAAACATTATATAGTCCTGGGGTTGAGTTAACAGCTGAGTGGTAGGGCACATGCTTAACATGGGTGAGACTATGTCTTATAGAACACAATTTGTAGAGTTGTGCTCCATAGTAACACAGTGGCCAAGAGGTTTCTCAATGTGAATGATTTCAGAGTATTAACTGCAACATTAACTATAGCAATTATAATAATGAAATTATTATATTGGGGTAATGATTATAGTTAACAATACTATGCTTTGCATTAGAGTGCTCATAATTAATTCATCACATGATCACCTCTTGGTAAACAGAACATGAATGGTACAGCCAAGGGGAAGGAACAATGAGAGCCTTCCTGATGCTATGGTACTTAACATTATGTTCTTCATGGCAAGTGTCTGTAATCCAGCTCAGGAAGCTGAGATATGAGGATCATGGTTCAAAGCCAGGCTTGGCAGGAAAATCTATGAGACTCTTACTCTACTAAAAAGGCCAGAAGTACTGTGGCTCAAGTGGAAGAGCATTAGTCTTGAGCAAAAGAAGCTCAACGACAGAGCTCAGGACCTGAGTTCAATCCCAGTACTGGCACAAAACAAACAAAAATTATTATGTTCTTCACAAACATGCCAGTGATCGTGGGAATAATGGCCCATGGTCAGACCCAGTCAACAGCAGGCAAATGTGAAGACTCATGTGGGAGGCAGATCCACTAACTGCTGGCAGTACTAACCCCAACACAAACTAACATCAGCTGTAGTTCCCCAAACATGTCCGATGCCCAGAGGCAAAATGATACCTTTGAAAGAAAAATGGCTAGTGACTGTGCCTCCAAAATGACACAAATACCCCAGCATTGATAGCTCATTCCTATAATCCTAGCTACTCAGGACGCTAAGATCTGAGGATCATGGTTCAAAGTCAACCCAGGCAGGAAAACAGGTGACACTCTAAGTACCAAAAAAGCTGGAAGTGAAGTTGTGATTCAAGTGACAGAGTACTAACCTTGAGCAAAAGAAACTCAGGGACAGCACCCAGGCCCTGAGTTCAAGCCCCAGGACTGATAATAAATAAAGAATAAAGAAACATGACACAAATGCAAGTGACCATCAGTTTTTTCCCCAAGATACCAAAGTTCTGCCTGCCCTCACTATGCTCCCAAGAGATCTCACCTGAGCACCTGCATCTCGTTCTTGAAGGCCTGGGCCTGCTCAGCGGTGGGTTGGGCCACCTTGAGCACCTTCACAGCCACATCACCATGCCACCGTCCTCGAAACACAGTGCCAAAAGAGCCTGTCCCGATCCTCTTCAGCAGCTGCACCTCACTTGGTGGCACTTCCCAGTAATAGCCTGAATCCCGGTACCCCAGATTCTTCTGTGGGCCAGACAAGGGGCACCTAAGGGACCTGCTCACACCCTTCAGCCATGTCACTCAGTCCATGGTGTCCCCCCATTAGTTCCCCTGAGCATACCACTTTTTTCTTTTCATCAGCCAAGGACTTCCGTTCCCGCTGCTCTGAAGATGACTTGGAATGTGGGGATTTCCTCCCCGAGGACAAACTGGCCAGGGTGGGGGTTCCCCGGGGGGCTCCATCACCACCACCTCTATTGGCAGCAGCTGTCATTGCAGAGCAGATGTAAGTAAAGGTGAATGAAGGGGGTAGGGTGGGGAGAGTGCAGGGGCAGGCAGGGGTCAGGTGGCGAGGGGGGGTCTCACCGTTGGTGCTGAAGTTCTGGGTTGTAAGCTGCAAAGGAGGGGACAGAATCAAGGTAAGGACATGGAAGTCCCTAGGAATAGCTGACACTGTCCTGTCCCATGCTCCTGAACTGCCCCTTTGCACCCACCTGCATGAGGCTGGAGTCCATGGGGGCTGTGGTGCTGACCATGTGGACATTGGGAGTAGATGTGGAGCGGATGCGCTGCAGGGGGGGGTTGGGTGAGGCAGGGAAGGGAAAATGCTCCTGGTCACAGTGCTGAGTGCAGGGGCTGATGGAGGAAAAGGCCATGAAATCTCTGTAGAATGATCCAGAAAGGCAACAGCGCCCACTCTGGCCACCTGAATATGCATTTAGCTCATACAGACAATTGTACTACTAGTACTTATATGTTCAAGAAAATTATTGATGGTAGGGCTGGGAAGGTGGCTCGGTGGTAGAGTGCTTGCCTTGTATGCATGAGGCCCTGGGTTCGATTCCCCAGCACCACATAAGCAAAAAGAAAAAAGCTGGAAGTAGCGCTGTGGCTCAAGTGGTAGAGCGCTAGCCTTGAGCTGAAGAGCTGAGGGACAGCGCCCAGGCCCAGAGTTCAGGCCCACGACTGGACCCAAAAAAAAAAAAGAAAGAAAATTATTGATGGTATGGGAAGTTGGCTCAGTGGTAGTCTGCTTGCCTTGCATGCCCTGGATTCAATTCCTCAGCACCACATTCTCAGAAAAGGCCGGAAGCAGAGCTGTGGCTCAAGTGGTAGAGTGTTAGCCTTTAGCCAAAGAGCTAAGGGACAGCGCCCAGGCCCAGAGTCCAGGCCCCACGACCAACAACAACAAAAAAATTGAGTGCTACCTTCTGTGTGCCAGATACTATTCTAGGTGGTGAAGTTAAAACTGTGGATTACATAAATAAAAGTTCTTGCTCTTGTGGGGCTGATATTCCAGTGGAAGGAGGGAGAAAAAAAACAGAGAAATATGTAATATACCTGCTAGGTACATGGGCACAAGAAAAGCAAAACATTAAAAAAAAATAGGAAGCTGGGCACTGGTGGCTCATGCCTATAATCCTAGGTACTCAGGAGACTGAGATCTGAGGAGGGGGTTCAAAGTCAGCCCTGGCAGGAAAGTCCATGAGACTCTTATCTCCAATGAACTACCAGAAAACTAGAAGTAGAGCCATGACTCAAAGTGGTAGAGCACTATCCTTGAGCTGAAGAGCTCAGGGACAAAGCCCAGGCCCCGAGTTCAGCCCCATGGCCATAAAGAAAGAAAGAAAGGAAGGAAGGAAGGAAGGAAGGAAGGAAGGAAGGAAGGAAGGAAGGAAGGAAGGAAAAGAAAAGGGGGCTGGGAAGGTGGCTTAGTGGTAGAGTGCTTGCCTAGTGTGCCTGAAGCCCCATGTTCCATTCCTCAGCACCAAATAAACAGTAAAAGCCAGAAGTGGCACTGTGGCTCAAGTGGTAGAGCACTAGCCTTGAGCAAAAGGAGGTCAGGGACAGTGCCCAGGCCCTGAGTTCAAGCTCCATGACCACCAAAAAAGAAAAAGAAAAGAAATGTTTGTCAAGTAAACAAAGGAATAGAAGTATGGCTTGTTATTTATAAAAGCACCTAGATCTGCTTCTCTCCCAGTAGCCCTAAGGCATCCCTACCTGGGGCCCTCAGAAGTTAGCGGCTCATTCAGGGGGCGGTTGGAGGGAGCCTCGTGCTGTCTGGAGCCCCCGGACAAATCCTGAACACTGTGGTAGAACCTTGAGAATAGTAAGGTTGTAAAACAAGAGAACATGAGTCAGCTGTCTATAAGGGACTTGTGGTTAGGCCTCTGGCCTCCCCATCCACCAGCCACCCAGAGCTGGGCTCACTGTCGGCGGTTGGTACTCATGTCAACGCAGACTGTGGGGACCTTTGAGGAACAATGCTGGTGGAACTTGTAGCCACAAGTCTGGCAGCGGAAGCCATGGAAGAGAAACTTAAGGCAGAAGTCACAGAACACCAGGCTGAAGAAAGTCTTCCGTACCTGTAGCCACAGAGCAGAGACAGTCGAGATCTGGTCAAGGGCTTTCTCCCTCTCGTTTCCCCATGACCTGCACTGACTAAACCCACCATACTCACAAAATTGTGCATGGTCAGAGGCACGTCTTCCAGGACCTCTACGATGAGCTCCTCGCCATCCAGGGGTGCGATGGCAGTGTCCCAGGCAGTAACCGTCTTTCGCCTGTAGAGGGCATGGGAGGATGGGGGGGGGTTAGACTGGGGCTAAGCCCCCAATCCATGCACTGATAGCTGGCAGTTTTAATTCTTGTTAAAGTAGTCACTATTCTTGCCCTGGATTTACAGAGAGGAAACAGGCTCAGAGGGAATAAACTGATTTGTCCAAGGGGACTCTGAAGAATCTGTGCTGTTCACCATAAGGTGACAAGCAAATGAAACAAAATCTCAGAAGTGACAAGCCAGCACAGGAAAGGAAGGAGTAGATGAGGCACAGAAACAACAACCCAAAACAAGGCATGACCTGGATTAAAAAAAAAAAAAAACAAATGAATCCCAGGGCAGTCAGTCAGGACGAACTCAGCAGAGAATGGGAAAACTGAGGAAAGAAAGGGCTACTGAATTCATGAAATCATGAAAAAGAAAAATGAACTGGGTAATAATGGCTCATAGCTGTAATCTAGCTACTCAGAGGGCTGAGATCTAAGATTCATGATTTTGAAGCCAGCCCCCAAATGAAGTATCCCAACTTCCCAGGGCCAGTGGGACTCAAACCCACGATCAGCGAAAGTTATCTTTTAATAGCCATGGCAATTGAACTCCACTATACCAAGACAGTGAAGACCAGCAGTGAAGTCAAATAGATAAGGGTATTTAAAGGCAAGATCCGTGCAGGGGGGGGTGGTGGTACTCACAAGTGGTCAATGGCATATTCTTTCTTTGGTGGGGGGGGCATCACAAAAAGAAAAGTCTTTGAGATTCTTTCCTCCAACTAGCCACTAAAAAGATGAAAGTGCCAAGTGTGGTTCTAGTGATAGAATGCCAGCCTTGAATGAGAAAACTAAGGGACAGTGCCCAGGCCCTAAATTCAAGCCCCAATACCAACACACAGAAAAGGGAAAGAGGAAGAAAGAAAATAATAAATTCGGGCTGGGAAGGTGGCTCAGTGGTAGAGTGCTTGCCTTGCATGCATAGGCCCTGGGTTCGATTTCTCAGCACCACATAAGCAGACAAAGCCAGAAGTGGCACTGTGGCTCAAGTGGTAGAGTGCTAGCCTTGAGCTGAAGAGCTGAGGGACAGCACCCAGGCCCAGAGTTCAGGCCCCAAAACTGGCAAAAAAAAATAAAAAATAAAAAGAAAGAAAGAAAAAAGAAAAGAATAAATTATGAAAGGAAATGACAGCAGGATAACAACTTGGGGGCTAAGGAAACAGTGAGTTGCAGACATTCCAAGCCAATGAACTAAAGAAGAAATGAAGTTAGATGCTGGTTGGCTAATGTCTGTAATCCTAGCTACTCAGGAGGCTAAGATCTGAAGATCTGGGTTCAAAGCTGGCCAGGGCAGGAAATGTAAGACTCTTATCTCCAATTAATCACCGAAAAAGCTGGAAGTAGAACTGTGGCTCAAGTGGTAGAGTGCTAGTCTTGACCAAAAGAAGCTCAGAGACAGTGCCCAAGTCCTGAGTTCAAAAACAAGGACCAGCACACAAAAAAAGAAGAAATTAAGTCAGCCACCAGTGGCTAGTTTATGTAATCCTAGCTAACCATAAAGTTGAGAACTGAGGATCTTGGTTCAAGTCTGGGGCAGGAAATCCCATGAGATTCTTATCTCCAAGTAACCACGCCCCAAAAAAGCTGGAAGTGGAGCTGTGGCTCAAATGGTGGAGCACTAGCCTTGAGCCAAAAAGCTCAGGGACATGCCACAGGCCCTGAGTTCAAGCCCAAAACACACACACACACACACACACACACACACACAAGCCCTGAGTTCAAGCCCAAAACACACACACACACACACACACCACAACACATGGAGGGAGGAGGTGGGAAGGAAAGGGGAAGGAGGGAGAGGTGGACAAGGAAAAGAAGGAAAGAAGGGAAGAAGAAAGGAAAAGAAAGCCACGTGTCGGTGTCTCATGCCTGTAATCCTACCTACTCAGGAGGCTGAGATTTGAGGATCACAGTTCAAAGCCAGCCAGGGCAAGGAAAGTCCATGAGACTCTTATCTCCAATAAACCACTCAAAAACTGGAAGTGGTGCTGTGGCTCAAATGGTAGAGCGCTTGCTTTGAGCTGAAGAGCTGAGGGACAGCGCCCAGGCCCAGAGTTCAAGCCCCATGACCAAAAAACAAAAAAAAAAAAAGGAAAAGAATGAAGGAAAGGACCAAAAAAAAAAAAGGAAAAGAATGAAGGAAAGAGAGAAAGAAAGGAAGGAAAGGAAGGAAGAGTAAAGAGATAAAAGGAAAGACAAATGAGCTCTCTTGTGATCTCTGAACTAATGCAAAAGGAACGAGATGACGGGGGAGGTAGGAGGTGTGGGGCTGCCATACTCACCCTTTGATGAGTCTGTAGACCACACAGCAGTCCTGATTGAGGCCCCGCACCTTGAGGGCCTTGTCTAGAGAGTCATAGACACTCATGCCATCCCGGACAGTCACCTGTACATTTATGTAGAGAGGCGGTAAGCCCCAGCTGATTCTCCCATCCCTCTGTCATGATACCCTTCCAATCCCAGCCTTACAACTGGATCCATCTGCAATCTTGCCAGTTTGGGCCCAGTCACTCACCACTGTGCGTTGCTTGTTGGGCAGGTACACTTTGACAGTGCCCACTGCCCGGGATGGCTCAGCCCCGTTGGCAGGGAGGCCCCGTGGTGGCTCCATGGAGCCTAAGACTTTGTCAAGATGGGCTGAGATGAGGCTGGGCAGGTGCCATGGGGCTCCTAGGAGAGAGCAGGTAAAGGAAGAATTCAGAATTTCAATGATAACCTGGAAGCAAAATGGCATAACACAAAATCAGGTTTTGCCCCCAGCTGCTCCATTTCTATACAACAGCCCAAGAAGTCTAACCCCTAAAGTACATCCTGTCTCCTCTGCCTGGTCTCTTCTGCTGTTTGTTTCACTCTTGAATGTCAAAGTCTTAAATTCACCGCAGGGAGGTATGTGAACAGGTATAGGGGATGAACCACAGTGAGAAGCAGCATACACTGTCCTGTTGAGTACAGTGCACACAACTCTGCTGAGAACTAATTGAGAAGTCAGCTCATACTGCTCCGGGGGCTCGAGGAGGGGAAAGGTACATAATGGGCATGACAGGGTATCTTGGTGTTTCATGGAGACGTGGGGTGATCAGAGACTGTGGTGAGGGAGGAGGCATAGATAGAGTGATGGGAAAGGGAGGATCATCAGATATATTGCTCTTGGTTTGGAGGAAAGAGGTCACATCAATTTTTTTTTGTTTCTTCTGTTTGGTTTGGTGCCAGTACAAAGGTTTGAACTCAGGGCCTTGTGTTATCTATCATTTGGCTTTTTTTTTAAATCAGTGCTGGTACTCTACCACTTAAGCCACACCACCGTTTCTGAATTTTTGCTGATCAACTGGAGATAAGAGTCTCCTGACCTTTTTTTTTGGGGGGGGGGCAGGGCTATCTTTGAACTTCAATCTTCAAATCTCAACCTCCTGAATAGCTAGGTTGCAAATATAACCTACCAACTTTCCCCCTCATCCCCCCCCTCCAGCTTCACACCAGTAATTGTTTTTTTGTTTTTGTTTTTCTTTTCCCTATCCTGGGGCTTGAACTTAGGGCCTCGGCACTGCTCTGTGCTTTTCTTTTCTTCTTTTTTTCTTTTTTTTTGCTTAAGGCCAGTACTCAACACCTTAACCACAGCACCACTTCCGGCTTTTTCTGAGAAGTTTGTTGGAGAGGAGTCTCACAGACTTTCTTCCCCAGGCTGGCTTCAAACCACGATCCTCAGATCTCAGCCTCCAGAGTAGCTACGATTGCAGGCATAAGCCACCACTGTCTGGCCACACCAATGGTTTTAAAGGGCACTGTGGTCATCCCTGAGCCCTGTGTCATGTTGATGGTGAGATCAGAGACACTTGTGTTAGATGGCTAATGGAGATCACCAAGCTCTAGGATGAGGAGTTCATAGAGACAGAGGGGGTCACCAGATACTATGCTGAAGGAAGATGTAGGAATCGCTAGGTAGTGTAATAAGAAAGGATAGTGGGGGTTATCACACTGCCACAGGAAAAGGAAGATAATGGTGTCTAAGGTGACAAAAATGGACATTAATTGGGGAAAGGTCTCCAAAAATCTCCTTGAAAGCTAATGAGCCACAGCTTAATGAAGTAGAATGAGTGAATAATCAGGGAACAATGGAGAAGGTAAAGTGGGGATAAGGGAGGAATCCTCAGATGTTTCCCTAGGGATCAGACATTGATCCATAATAAGGAACCCTAGGAGTGAACCCCATCTCTACACACACACCCTGACCTTGGTAAGGAAGGGTCATCAAACACTTCAAGGGCTTCAAAGATGCAAATGGGAACCCCAGGCCCAAGCCCCCAGCCCCATTCTGCCAGGTCCCGCCTCCTGATTGTCTTGAAGACCTGCGCACGCGCGCGGCCAGTCGCAGCGGACCAAACCATCCCTGCAGCCTTACCAGTCGATTGCCATCTACCCACCCTACCCCCGCTGTGGATGATGGTCTCGCCCCGGACCAAACCACTCCTCTGGTTCCGGGGCAGGGGGCGCCGGAATCCAGACACAGCCATTCTGGAGCTGAGATTTTGGTCCGGACTCCTACCAATGCTTGACAAGCAGCTCCAAAATCCAAATCCTTGCGGGCCCGCCCTCACCTGTCACGCCGCTACAGCCGCCACCGCCTCCATCTTGGGTTTGTCTTCTTGTTTCCTCACATAGACCGCCTCCACCACACCTTGAACTTTCTCTATTGGCTCCGTGGGACTCAGCCCTCTATTTTTATTGGAAATGGGTCATGCCTGTTAAGCCCGGACGGGCGGAATGTAGGTCGTGTTCCGGATTAGGAGGGGCAGCCTGAAACGTCAGTCAGGGGTAAATTCGCAGGTCATGACTGGCGCAGGCGCAGTAGGGTGAGAACTGCGTGCAAGGACTTTAACCTCATTAGTTCCATAAAGAAAAAGTTTATTTTATGGTCATTTGGTGCTGACCTTAGGTGCTTAGAATCTGTTTGGAGAAGTCCTTAAATTCAATTTGGGACTAATACTGGAAGTATTCATTTAGGATTGTCCCTAGTCTCAATTTTACTCCCTTTAAAATGGGTTGGAATCAGATCAGATGATTTTAGTATTAACCAGCAGGAGACTGGAGATAATAGCAAGTCTCTGGGGTGGTTGGGGCTGGAGATCCTTTAGGAAAGGGGTAGATGAGACCCCCCCCACACACACTTGGGTTTGAACTCAGGACCTTTCACTTGCTAGGCTGTCACTCTACAACTTGAGTCATGTCCCCACCCATTTTTGCTAGTTAATTTTAAGATAGGGCCCAGGCTGGCCTCAAATCTCTGCCCTCCCATTGTCAGCCTCCCAAATTTATAGGAGTACAGACATAAGCCACCTGTGTGTGCAGGGAAGTATGTGGAGATTTTGAAAGGCAGGTCATAGGTGACTAGGTGAAAAAGGAGGTATAGATCAGGAATGGAATCACTGATTGGAGGTATTGTAGAATAAACATAAGTTTGGTATATTGAAAGAGACTTTTACCTTCCTTTTTCTTGGAGTATTTCTTTTATTTTGTTTCTTAGAGTATTTCTTTTAGGAAACTTGTAAATATTTTCCCACAGTCCATTTTAGAAGTATGTAAATCTTTTTCAAAAGCTAAGGGGGATGCTGGGGATATAGCTCAGCAGACAAAACAGTCTCCTAACTTATGCACTCGGGACAAGCTCTAGAATCACACACAGGAACATAGGTCTCTTATCTGTTTTACAAGTCCAAGTTTACAAGTTTACAAGGCCCCTTAAGGGCCTTGAAGTCATCTCTTTGAAAAGTAAACAAAATTATCATCCTATCTCTAGTCTAGTAGCCCCAAGTTGTGAGATTGTCATAGAGATATGAGTCTTAGTTTTCCCTTGGGTAAGTGCCTGGAGCCATCTGTTTGAAAGGCAAGCAACAGAAAGTAACATTTCATTCTCCTTGCCTCTGAGGCAATTTCTTTTCCTCCTCATTTTTATGGGAAAGGAAGCTTTTCTGTTTTTTTTTTCTTTTTTGGGGGGAGAGAGTGGGTCTGGTCGTGGGGCCTGAACACTGTCCCTCAGCTCTTCAGCTCAAGGCTAGCGCTCTACCACTTGAGCCACAGCGCCACTTCCGGCTTTTTTCTTTTTGCTTATGTGGTGCTGAGGAATCGAACCCAGCGCCTCAGGCATGCAAGGCAAGCGCTCTACCACTGAGCCACCTTCCCAGCCCCCATGTTGGATTTTCTATATGGCATTCCTTCTCCCTAGACATAAGTCCCCTCTGAAGGAGGACTAATGATCTACTATTATATAAAGTAGGTCAGAGAATGTATTGTACAAGGGGAGGGGAAGGCTAGAGCAGAGATTTAGGGAAGAGGTGCTCTACTTTTTATGACTTGCCTGAGGGGAGGAAGGGAATCTAGAGAAGGAGGGTAAGAGGTCAGAAAGATCTTTTTTTTTTTTTTAACTTTCTTTGGGTCCGGTCGTGGGGCTTGAACTCTGGGCGTGGGCGCTGTCCCTCAGCTCTTCAGCTCAAGACTAGCGCTCTACCACTTGGGCCACAGCACCACTTCTGGCTTTTTTCTTTTTGCTTATGTGGTGCTGAGGAATCGAACCCAGGGCCTCATGCATGCGAGGCAAGCGCTCTACCACTAAGCCACCTTCCCAGCCCCATATTTTTATTGTTTATAAAGGTGATGTACATAGAGGTTACCATTTCATAAATCAGGTAATGAGTACATTTCTTTTTTATTTTTTTGTTGGTTCTGAGGCTTGAACTCAGGGCCTGGGCACTGTCCTGAGCCTATTTGTGCTCAAGGCTAGTGCTCTACCACTTGAGTCACAGCTCAACTTCCATGAGTACATTTCTTTTTGGACAATGTTACCCATTCCTTCACTCTCTACTAGTTCTTTTTCTTTTTCATTTATTTTTGTCGGTCGTGGGGCATGAACTCTGGGCCTGGGCCCTGTCCCTCAGCTCTTCAGCTCAAGGCTAGCGCTCTACCACTTGAGCCACAGCGCCACTTCCCTTTTTCTTTTTTCGAGACAAGATCTCACTATGTAGCCCAGGCTGGCCTCAAACTTATCATCCTTTCTGCCTCAGCCATCCAACTGCTGAGTTTACAGGAATCCACTACTATATGATCCACATGAGACTTTCTTTCCATTTATTTCCCCAATGGCATGATGAGCCGCATTTGTGTTAGAAATAATTACACTGTCTTGCTTAGAGACTGAACATTCCTTTATAATAAAATGGGAAGAAGCTGAGAGGAAGGTCATTAAGTCAGGGTGCTTCACCTTGCTTCCACCTGTATATAGGGAGGACCTGCTTTGCCTATTAAAGAGTTTTGCTTAATAGGTGACTCCCATTTGCCATCTCTTTTCCATCCAAATGTTTACCATTCAATGTCTAACATTAAAAAGACTAAGCTGTGAGCTGGGAATGTGGCTTAGTTGGAGAGTGCTTGCCTAGCATGCATGATGCCCTGAGTTCTATTCCTCAGTACCACATAAACAGAAAATGCCAGAAGTGAAGTTGTGGCTCAAGTGGTAGAGTGCTAGCCTTGAGCAAAAGAAGCTGAGGGACAGTGCCCAGGCTCTGAGTTCAATCCCCAGGACTGGCCAAAGAAAAAACTAAGTTGTACATAGTAGTGTTAGGTTTTAAAGAAGAGGTTGCCAAGTAAGAAGCACACCACGCACGTGGTATTCAGGTAAGGGGTAAGTTTACTCATCGTTCTGGCTGATACCAGGCCATGTTGGCACTCCATGTGGCTGGGAAAGAGACCTAGGAAAGAGGGCATCTGACCCTGGGCTAGGCCTTATCTAGGGTAGGGGAAGGGAAAGGTGTGGCCACATCGAATCCAGATGTGACCTCAGCGGATGCAGATGTGACCTCTTCCAGGTGTGCCTGTTGCCTAGGTAACACAGGTACTGGGCAGAGACTTTGCTGCCAGGAGGGTAGAGTCTGCTCACCATCCAGGAGTGGATCTTACAAGTAGTATATACCTATAACTCAGCATTAGGAGGATGAGGCAGGAAGAGAGTCTAAAGCCAACCTGGCCTATATGGTAAGACCCTGTTACAGACAAAAATAATAATGTAAAGACTGACAGTAGGAAATAGAATTGTGACTCAAGTGGTAGAGGACCGGCTTTGAGTGAAATAGCTAAGGACAGTGCCTAGGTCCTTAGTTCAAGCCCCTGTACTAGCAAACACACACAAAAGACCTTAATTATTAGCCAGGTGCCTGTAATCCTAGCTAGTGAGGAAGTTGTGGTTTGAAGCAAGCCTGGGCAAGAGTCAGTGAGATTCTTAGCTCCAATTAATCATCAAAACACAGGAAGTAGAGCTGTGGCTCAAGTGGTAAAGTACCTACCTTGAGCAAAAAAAAAGCTAAGGGATAACACCCAGGACCTGAGTTCAAGCCCCATTACTTGCATGTGCACACACACACACACACACACACACACACACACACACACACACACACACACACAGAACACAAGACTGACAGTGCCACATATTGATGGAATGTGGAACAACTGGAGCATTCCATACACTAGAAGTGTAAAATGATACAACTACTTTGGAACCAGATGGTCAGCTTTGTATAAGGTGTTTTTTTTTTAGATTTCCAGATTGTTTCTGTTAAAAAAATTAATTTTATCATCAAGGTGATGTTCAGAAGGATTACAGTTACATACATAAGGTAGTGAGTACATTTCTTGTCAATCTTGTTACCCCTCCCTCATTTTCTCCCACTTTCCCTTCCCCTGTATAAAGTTTAATATAAATGCACCACGTAATCCAACAATGTCCATTCAAGGTCAGCTGGAATCCTTGCCTAGAATATACAAAGTCCTGAGTTTGATCCTTAGGAAGTCAGGAAGGAAAGAATACAAGAAGGAAGGAAGGAAAAAAACTTGAAGCCGAGTGCCAGTGGCTGCACATGCCTGATAATCCTAGCTACTCAGGAGGCTGATATCTGAGGATCACAGTTCAAATCTAGCCCAGGTAGCAAAGTCCATGAGACTCTTATCTCCAATAAACCACTAGAAAACCGAAAGTGGCGCTGTAGCTGAAGTGGTAGAGTGCTCACCTTGAGTTGAAGAGTGCAGGGACAATGCCCAGGCCCAGAGTTCAAGCCCCACAACTGACAAAAAATAAAAATAAATAACTTGAAGTCTTGGACCTTTTGATAAGCCTCCTTCTTGAGTCTGACTGCTCTCTCTGCTTGAGAGTTAACTTCTGCATTGCATTAACACAACTGCTACTGCATAGGTCTCTGTTTCTGTCCTCAAATTCATTCTCTAATGGGAAAGAACCTTTCTAGGCCCTGGATTTTTTTGTGCCCCAAATCCCATAGCATGAGAATTTTAAGTTTGAGGCCATCCTGACTACAAAGCTAGGACAGGGACTCCTCTCTGCCCCTGTCTGAAAAACAAACAATTACAGATCATGTTTACTGCACTCTCTCTTTGTAGTCAGGGAGAGGAGTGGAAGTGTGGGGCACAGTTTACTCAAGGGGAATCCTTTCTCTCTTAGTCTCACTCCAAACCCATCCCAATACCTCAGGCAGAGTCCTGGCTGAAGACCATAATCCTCACATTAAAACTCTCAGAAATACTATATACAGATGCTTCTCTCTTTATGACAAGGTAATTTCCAGATAAACTCCTTGTAAATTTAAAATAGTCTGAGTTAAAAGTGCACATGTGCTGGGCATTGATGGCTCAAATTTGTAATCCTAGCTACTAAGGCCAGTGAGATCTGAGGATGGAGGGAGGTTCAAAGTCATCATGGG